GTTTGGACTTCGCGTCCATTCCAGATGCCATGTGTGGGCAGTACGACCTGGTGCTGGGCAGCGATATTGTGTACGACCACACCATTGCTAGCCACGTGGCCCCGGCACTCGCGCGGCTTCTGCGTACCGGCGGAATGGCCTTCCTATGCTGCGAGCGGCACCGCGACGGCATGGTGTCCTTTGTTGACATCATTCAGGCAAAGATGGCGGGGTCGCTGGAGGTGGTGGCAACTCACGCAGACGCGCAGGCGTTACTGCAGCAGCTGCAGATGATCCCTGGGCTCACGTCCACGGCGTGCTCTCTGGTGGTGCTTCGCCGCCGCTGATCTCAGGGGTCCCCCGTTGGGTCACCGTCCCCCTAAAGAGGTGGTGGTTAATTTGTGTGTGTGTAACGTTTCTAATTTGCACATGTGTGTTAATTATTTTGCCGTTGTTGCTGCTGTTGTTTGGGGTCTTCGTTGTTGCTGCCACTTCATTTTTTCCCGCAGCTGGGGCCCTGTTCCAGCGCACGCGCACCTGTTTCTTTCTTTCTTTCTGTTTCCACCGTATTTTCCTCCGCGGTTATCGTCGCCTTCACGGCACCAGCGCGAGTCCGTACATCTACTGAAGGAGGCAAAGGGTCTGTGTGTGTGTGTTTTTGTTGTATTTTTTTTTTGCTTTGTTTTGTTTTTGATTTCCGCTGGGGAGAGGAGAAGGAAAAGGTTATACATACGCACGGAAGTTTGATTATTTGCTTGCACTTTTACTTTACTTGCGGCACACACTCGTGACACCATCGCCGTCCCACAGTGGGGAGGAGCCGATAGAGAAAGAGAAAGTGCGGAGCCGAGGCTGCCGGTGATGTTTCCAGCCGCCACCCGTGAAGAGGTGGTGCGGTGGGGCACGCTGCTACACGACGCGTTGCACACCGTCGGGCTCGCCCCAACCCCTGCTGTGGTGGCGGCGCTTAACACCCTCACGTCGTACGCGGAGTCCCCGCTCACGCGCTACAGCGATCCGGAGAGGGGGGCACGCACCGCCAAGGCGCACGGCGCTCTTCTTCTTGCGCTGCACACGGCGACGTCGCCGTGGCCAGCCGTGCTGCTGCGCAGACTCGCGCTGCCGCCTGTGCGCATCGCCGACCGCGACATTTCTGTGAGCGGCCCGGCGATGGAGGTGTTTGTTGTGTTGTACAACGCTGCCATCAGTAACTGCAATGCAGGCATTGCGGCGATGGAGCGTGTGCAGGTGAATTACACCCGCGGGGCGACACGCAACTCGCGTGCGAGCGCGTCCCTCAGCGGGGACACGAAGGCCGCGTTCAACAGTTTTCATGTGGGGGCCGAACTCGCAGCGTACGGAGAACAGGCGTTGTTAACGGAAGAATCGGAAAATCTGCTGACGCCCGCGGACTGTGACCTCATCCAGCAGAACTTTAATTTTCGCACCCTCCGCGAGACGGCGGATTTCTGCAAGGCGGTCGCGAAGTACGCGCACGCCACCACCTCCCACGCCACATCGAAGCAACACAATGCCCTTGCGAAACTCGCCCACAGTGCGTACACCGTGGGGCTTTCCGCGGCACACGTCTTGGAGTCGCTTCGTTTCCTGCCGCAGCTGCTGCTTGCCGCGTACCACCGCCATCGGGCGGAACACTACAATAGCGCAGCGGAGGTTCTTGACATGTCGCTTGCGCTTGGACACATTGCGTACGCCTGGCGACTAGTGAAGGAACTGGAGGAGGAGGAGCTTGCTAGCAGCATGGCTGCCTCCGCGGCGTTCAAGGAAAAGATGAGGCAGAGCGGCGGTTGGAAGCTGCTTGGGCGATTGAGTGCCACGCTCGTAGGCTCCCAGACGGCTAAAGCCGGTGGCACCGCTGATGGCGACTTGCCGGCGCAGCCCTTTAGAAAACTTGAGGAACTGCTGGAGGAGTCGGACCTCGTGCGGGTGTTTCCTCTTGCCCATATACTCCTCCATGACATCGCCACGCTTCATGACAAGTACCAACACGAGAACTCTGTTGTGTACTACGAAAGGCCGGCACGGGAAGAAGTCGTGATCGCTGATGCACCTGCGGTCGAGACACTCAACTGCTTCAGCACTCCCTCTGAGTACGTGCCTCTGGCCATCAAGCTTTCAGCAGACATGACCAAGTTTGGCGAAATGCCGTCTGGAGAAAGGTTGGAGGAACTGCTGCAGCAACAGGAGGCGACCCGCGGAATGCAGGATAGTGTGCGGAAGCAGCTGGAGGACGTGCAGGGGCTAGTCCATGAAATGGAGTTGGCGTTGCTTTTGCCGTCAAGTGTGGAGTCGGAATTGTCCGCTCTCGAGGCGCTGCTGCACCGAGACAGGGGCGTCGTGGTGACGCTTGACGAACGCTTCGAGGAGGCGTACGAGTCCGTCGCGCAGGCCCTGCAGCGGTGCGAGAAGGTCAACGGGGAGTTGTGCCGTGTCAAGAAGGGGTACCGCGGTAAAAACGTTGCCGTTGCGGTGGGGGCAACCGCGCTGAGGCAGCGTGAGCGAGCGTGGCACAAGAGGGCAGATGCTGTACGCGCTGCTCTTGCGAAGGAGCTGCCGCATTGCGGCGAGGCGGCGTTGCGTGAGGCACTTCTGCTCCCTGCCGGGGCGGCGTTGCGCCTGTGCATAACACAAGCCAAAGTCGCGATGTCGAGGGCGAAGGAAACGATTGCGCGGCACGCCCCCCACACGGATGCCTGTGCCGTGCACTTGGCAGAGCTGAGAAGCATAAGGAAGGAATCTGTCGCGGCGCTCGAGCAGATGGCTTCGCTCCGCACACCGAATCGCTGGGGGCGTGTGGCATGCGCGCTATCCGATGCGGCGGAGGTCATCATCACGGCGGAGAAATTTGTGGAGGCGGTGGAGGCGGAGCTGCAGCTGACGGAAACACTGAAAGACCACATTGTCCCCACAACGCGGCACCCCGCGCCAGATGGGCCCGTACTTTGTTCCGAGTCGCGAAAGCCGCGGCAGACGCCAAACACCCTCCTCTCAAAGGCGGTGGAAAGACGCCCCAAGCGTGCTCGCTCGTCTGAGACGCAGAGCGACGAGGAAGAGGAGGAAGATGAGGAAGTGAGCGGGGAAAAAGCAGTTGAGTCGCCGCCAGAACAACAGCGAAAAGGAGTGCCCCGAAAGGCGATCAAAAGAACGAGGCAGCTGGCGGAGGAGGAGGCGGAGGACCGCTCGCCTCCCGCGCTGGCAAAGATGGCCAAGGCAGCAGCACATAGTGCGAATACAGCTGAGATGGCACACAGCAGTGAGACGGTGAGAATCCCCGAGGCCATCGTCTCTGCATCGCTGCTGGAGCGCCTTCGGCGTCGGCAGCAGGAGTTGGGGGCGGACGGGGAGAAGGCAAAGGAAGCAACAGGGGCCTCAGACAGGGGCGTGGGGAAAAGAGAGCAGGGTGGCAAAAGACAACGGCAGCGGTAGAGCCTGTCAGCACGAAGTTGCGGACGATGAGTCCACGTCGTCGCCACCACCGCCCGCCGCACAGTGTGGAAGCGAGAGCAACGAGAAACTGAGGCACAGGGGCGGGCGGCGGGAGTGGCGGCCAAGGGAGCGAAACAGAGACACAAAAGACGAAGAGAAGGGAGGGAAAAAACGGTGGATGATGTCCATAAAGGCATGCGGCCGCCCCTATCGGCCTGTGTTTATTATTATTATTATTATTATGTGTGTGTGTGTGTTTGTGTTTCTCACCTCCTTTTCTCTTGCAGTGGTGGGGTAGAACTGCGGGAAGTGGCAAGATTGAGGTGCAGGAGAGGAAGCGCGGCCTCACGTGGGAGGCGGACGTTTATTATGGTACTGCAGCACCTCGATCTCCTGCGACGAAAGCGCATTGTGCTCGCCTCTGCTTCGCCGCGACGACGGGAAATACTTGAAAAGGTTGGCCTGCACCACCTCGAAGTGTGTGTGTCGGGCTTTGCGGAGAACCTCCCCAAGGCCAACTTCACCTGCGGCGGGGACTACGCGCTGCGCACCGCCCGGCACAAGGCAGAGGACGTCGTGCGTCAACTGCAGCAGCCACAGCAAGCCGTCGAAGTAACGGACGAAAAGAGAAATGGCTTTGACCCCCCGCCGCCGTTCGACATCCTCATCGCGGCGGATACGGTGGTCACCATGCCGGCACCTGATGGCGGAGTTGTGATCATTGAAAAGCCTGCCACTTCGGAGGAGGCGGCGGCGATGCTGCGTCGCTTCGCGGGCACACAACACGACGTGTGGAGCGGTGTCGTGTTGGTGGTGCGTGACGAGTCGAGCAGTGGCAGCGGCGGTGGTGGTGGTGGTGGTGGGCTGCACTGGCGTGAGGTGAAGGTGCGCACGACAGTTAAATTTGCACCGCTGGTGGAGGAGGAGATCGCTGCATATGCGTCAAACCGCCGCCACTGGGAGGGGAAGGCGGGCGGCTACGGCATTCAGGACGCCGCGGCGTGCCTCATAACCGCGATTGATGGCGATTACTACAACGTGATGGGCCTCCCGCTGCGGGCGGTGTGCGCGGAGTTGGACCAAGTCATACGCGACGGCGTCTGGCGGTGACGCGCAAACCAAGTGGCGGAAAGAACAGCGAGAAGAAGGCACGTGCCTCCTGCTCCCTCCTCCTCCTCCTTTTTCTTTTGTTCTTCTCTCCTCCTCCTCTCACCTGCCACTGAGCGGGAGGTCGCGTTGCCCGTTAATTGTTGCTGACACCTCTTTTCGGTCTCCTTCCACTCGCCCCGCCTCTTTTTTTTTCTTTTTGCTGCACTCGTGGTGTTGCCACGCAGCACGCACGTGGCGAACAGCGTCCCACAGTTGGCGGGAAATGGGCAACACGTGTGCGCCGCAAAAGGGGCTGCGCTTCAAGAACTTCATCATCGCCGTTTTCTCCCAGGACTTACAGCGCAGCCCCGTGCGAGATGCCTTTGGCAACCTGCAGGACTACGTTTCTAACAACCCTGAGCGTATTTCACGTGTTTGCCGCAAGATCTCCAAGCTGCTGGTCATATCCCTCAAACGGCATAAGGTGCGGCGTGTCATGGTGGGGGTGCAAATGCTGCGAGACTTAATTGCCCAGTTTGACGACGTTGGTGGGTTCGTGCCGGACTGCATTAGTATTTGCGTACTGCTTTTCTCCCACTCCACAGTGGAGTATCGCATCGGGGCCGCGGATGTCTTGGCCATTTTATGTTACAAACTTGCCCGACGCGTGGATGGCGAGCACTCCTGCCGTTTGATAATGGACAACCGAGAAAAACTACTCCCCCCGCTGGAGAAAATGTGCCTAGAGACAATTGCAAATGATGATGCCGCTACAATGCGGTGTCGCTACGCCGCAATTGTGGCACTAGGGAACGCTATATACTGCGTACGTGGTGCCTTGGCAAACACAACGAGTCGCCAGAAAATTCCCTTCTTGCAAAACCTTTTAAACGCGATGCGTGCTGAGGGTGAATCGAAGTGGATCCAGCATGAGCCCCTCGCGGTGCTTCTACAGCACATCAAAAGTGGTCCATTCGATGGGGTTGCCCTTCCCACCGAACCGCGGGAACGGGAGCTTGCGTGCATCAGCGCAGCTTCATGGGGCATAGGGACGGTGGTTGGGTGCGTTTCAAACGCCGGAATACATCACTTTCTGCAACTTGTCTTGGAGTTCATTGCGTCTTGCGACGGATGGTCGTTACCGGGGTTTGCATGTGTCACGCTGCGGTCATTGGCGCGGGCGTTAGAGTGGCGGCCGCAGCAACTCGGCTTCACTGTCTGCCAGTGCCTCTGTGAAATGATCATGGTACCCCGTAAAGGGGAAGAAACGACGATGAAGGTGCAGGATGGCGTCATTCGAGCTCTCATTGTCTGCATGCACGAAGTACGCATGACAGGTGGGCGGCCGCAGATTTTGTTTGAGGTGGTCCGTAAATGCATGAGTCAGGCCAACCGGACGGAGGACTACAACAACCTCCTCCTGCAGCTGGTGACGACGCTTATGTACACAACTCACAAATGGCGAAATGCACTGCGGCTGCACCTCATACTCGTGGAGCTATTGGGGGCATGCCAAGAGGCGGTGTCTAAGAACGTGGTACGCGGCCTGCGCATCCTGTCTCAGGCCGCGCCGTACGTGCGGGCTGTTCCGCTGACTGACCGCACCGACATTAACTTCTCGGGGGTCATTGCGCCTTTTCTCGCGACACACGACGAGGCGCAGCCGTATGCCGCCCAGGTGCTAGTGGGCCTCCTCGTGGGGACCGTCGCATCGCAGGAGTTAGTTCTGGAAAGCAGTGTCTTCGACTCAGCGACGGTGATGGCGGAGCCGCCTCCCCCACTCATAACGGATGAACAGGACGTGGTTGTGGCAAAAAAATGGGTTTTGTCTTGTATTGCCAGCGCGAAGCCCGTGACACCGTCGTGTGTGATTGAGGTAGGGCGTGTGGTGGTGGCCGTAATGCAAAGCCGCGGCGCCTCCTCGTTGCCGTTTGTTCTCTCCGTCGTTTCACGGTTGCAGGCGTTTGTGGCGAAGAACAAAACGGCCGCCGACCTTCATGTGGCGTGGGCGCATCTCTCGCTTGTGGTGCTTGTGAACTGCGGGGCCGTCCTCGCGCTGCGGCAACTTGCACGCTACGCGATGGGTCTGTTGCGGCAGCGCCGCCACCGCAACGAGTTGGCAAGGCGGTTCAGCTCGCGACTGGCGGACGGGGATGTTGGGGAACTGAAACTCGTCAGTGGCAGCAAAGTGCCGGAGGAGCTGCTGAGCAGTAAGTCGGTACACCACATGCCGGTGACGCTTCTCATTTCCTTTGAGGCCGTTGCGGAGGCCATCACGGAGGATGCCAGCGCAGAGGTGTACACCGTCTTTGGCGCCCAGACTGCGGCAGAGCTGAAGGTGGCCATCGCAGGCGCACTTTTGAACCCCGATGCGGATGAAGTCGGCAGCCCGTCATTGACGCCGCGCGCCCCCACTCGCGTGCAAGCAAAGCGTCACTTCAGCCTGGAGGCGTTGCACCCGTCGCACAGTGACGAGGCTGCGACCATCACGGTTTTTGTAGTGGACGGTGGTGCAGCAGAGGCGACGGCGGTGGCGGGAGATGCCGCTGTGACTGCCGCCCCTTGTGGCAGGCAGGAGCTCTTCACGGGGAGGGCAAGAGACTGCATTGCCGACCTTCTTGCACGCCACGGTGTTGGTGCAACGACGCAGCTGGTGCAACCACTCGCTCGTACTGCGCTGCTTGTCCCTACGCTAGATAAAAGGGAAAAGGTTAGGGATGCCACGAACGCCACGTCGGACGCGGCGAGCGCGGGTGCCGCGGATTCTCAGAAGTCATCCACGGCTGCTACTGCCTTGCCTGGGTCGCCCGTCAGCCACAACGTCCCGTCGACCTGCTCAAAACTGACCACGGGCACTCATGCGTTTCGCGAGGATGATGCTGGCTTCGTAGACAAGTCACCCAATGCTACTCATGTTGTCGCCGCAGCACCGCGTAGTGGTGCCCCCAGCGCCTGCATCGCGTACAGCAGCACGCAAGAGGCCTCAGAGGGAACAAGTGATGACAGAGCAGAGGGTAAAAAAGACATCATTAAAGTACGTGGCATGGACGGGCCAGGGAGTAATTACGTGGATGTACTCTGAGCACGATGGGGCGTGGGGGCGCGGAGTCGTGGGGGGCGCCGCTTCCGTTTTACTCCTTTATTATTATTATTGTTCTTGTTGTTGTTGTTATTATTATGTGCTCCCTGCAGCTGCGTTAGTGCGCTGGCTCCGTCATGTTGCTGTACTAATACTTCTATGCATCTTGTTTTTATCCCCCACCCCACCCCACCCCCGGCTGCTGCTGCCGCCGCTGTGCGTTTAGGTGATGGGGGGGGGAACAAAAACAAAAAATGGGTGAAAACATTTTCTTTTTTTACTTGTTAATTTTCTTTCCTGTCTGCCTGCTTCTTTCTCTGCTTCAGTCCAGCGGCGGCAGAAGAGGGAAAGTGCATGCAAACGAAGAGGAAAGAAGAACAACGACGAGGGGTCCGTGAATCGGTGTGGGTGGGCACCGACGGTGGCTTTGCCATCCTGCGGCATCCACTTGCCTCCCGCGCAATGACACTTTTTTCCGCAGTGTGGCGGGCGGGTCCCAATTCGCCCTCACCCCATCACCCTACTTTTTTCTGTTTCTCGCTTTGCCGCTAGAGCTCAAAAAGGTACCAGCAAAACCCACACACCATGTCCAGAGGCACACTGTCCGATCATCTGATCGGCGAAAAGAGTTTTATTGATATTCGTCACAACGCCATCGAGGGTGAGGCGGCAGCCCTGCTCTACCCTGCTGATGACGACAGACAGCCGTTGCGCTGTGCACTGACCATCTCCAACTATCGCGTTGTGATTCGTCCCGAGGGGGGCGACAGGGTTGCGGAGGCGCTGGGGTTCTCGCTGCCGCTCCTCTCGATTGCGTCGTGGAGTGTGCAGCGCAAGCCAATGAGTGCGTTGCCGCGTGCCGTATTTCAGTGGGGGTGGGGGCAGGCGGCCACTGATCACGACACGGCAACGTGCTCGCCAGACGAAAAGACGCCCCCGCCACTTGCCCAAAGTAACTTCCCGTCAGCCGGGTACACGCTGAGGATCGTCTCAAAGCATCTTTGGGAGGTGGAGGTTTTACTGCAGGGAGAGCGTCTGGCCACTACTGTGCGGGGCCTCTGGCAAAAATTAAATGCCCCGCAACTGAGGTCCATGCCGGCGTTTGTGCTTTACAGGAATCGCCACTTCGCACGTTACGAAAACGTCGCTGCGGATGATGTTGAGAATACTGAAGAAACCCGTCGGGCGGAGGAGAGGGGGGATGGTAGTCGCAGCATCGACAGGGTTTGTGAGGGTGGCGGTGTCGTGGAGGATGGAGTTGAGAATCTCATGGACAGCATCGAGTTTGGCTGGAATTTGTACGATGCGGAGCGAGAGCTTGAGAGGCAGCTCTCGCTGCTTCCCGGCACGGCGGTGCCAAGCCCGAGTGATACTTCCCGCGCTGGCACCATGCGCGACCTGCGGCCGTGGTTTCGCTTGACTTGCGTCAAGCAGCCAAGCAACGGCTACGGCAAGTCGCCGACGTACCCGTTTCGTGTGGTGGTTCCCAACGCCGCCAGCGACGAGCTGTTGGAAACTGCAATGACCACCCGCTCCCGCGCACGGTTTCCCGTCGTGTCGTTTGTGCACCTGGGAAGCGGCGCCGTGCTTGCACGCGCCTCGCAGCCCTTAATGAGGTCCCCAGCGCTGCTTCAGGACGGTGAGTTATGCCGTATGTTTACAAACAGCGGCTATCATGCCCACAACGCCGAACCCCGCAGTGAGGTGTCTGTGTCTGTGTCGGTTGCTCCGCTCAGCAGCAGGCCGATGCCGCCGCCCTCACTCTTCGACACGTCGTTGGATGAGCCTCAGGCGATGCGTCTGCCCCCAGGCGTGCAGAAGGACACAACTGCAGCGGCCACGCGATCTCAACGAACTCTCTTCGTCTTTGACTGCCGACCCTCCAACGCGGCCCATGCAAATCTTGCCATGGGCGGGGGCTACGAGGGCGGTGCCACCCACGACTTCTGCGAAGTCAAGTTCCACGGCATTGAAAACATTCACAATGTCTCAAAGTCTTTTGCAAAGTTAAAGACCCTCATTCATCGGTACAATGGAAAGCAGGCTAGGGAGGATTTTCTTCTGCAGCTTGACGGGACGCGGTGGCTGGATTATGTCCAACGTGTTTTGATCTGCTCTAACAAGATTGCCGAGTCTCTCGACCTCGGTAACTCCTGCCTTGTGCACTGCACCGATGGGTGGGATCGCACCCCGCAGTGCACCGCCACCGCCATGTTGCTGCTGGACCCTTTTTATCGCACCATTATCGGGTTTTGTGTGCTGGTGGAAAAGGAGTTTTGCTCGTTTGGGCACAAGTTTGCAGAGCGGTGTGATCATCAGGTGTTGGGGGAGACCAGCTACGCCTCCGACGCGGGGGTTACTGGGTCCGACACGGACGCGCAGCAATCAGCCGCAAAGTTGCAGCCCTCACCCATCTTTGTGCAATGGATGGACGTGGTGTTTCAGGTGGTGCGGCAGTTTCCACGGCAGTTTGAGTTTACCACACGACTGCTGGAGTACCTTAGCGAGGAGGTGTACGCCTGCCTCTACGGGACGTTTCTTTGCAACGGGGAGAAGGAACGCATGTTTGAGGGGGTGCGTCTGGGCACGGCCTCCATCTGGACACACGTGGTGCGTGCCGCGGCGAGGGAACGCGCAGGGAAATCACCGCTCTACTTCGTCAACGACGCCTACGACTCTGCGACAGCCTGGCAGTACATCTCAAAGAAACGGGGAAGTGGTATTCAGCGGCTTTCACCCAACTGCAGCAGCAAACGTCTTGTATTTTGGGAGTCCTTTTACCTGCGGCACGATGGGGACAACTGTTCTATAGAGCTTTGCGATGGGACACAGAAAGTGACGAAAAAATTGATGTTTCACAAAGCGTGGGAAGAATACTTCGATGAATTTCTGCGGGACTCGTGTGTGGAACGTAGAGAGGAGGTGTCAGACATGCGGCGACGGTTGCAAAACCTTTGTGTTGGGCGTTCAACGGCTACCGCTGCGAGCACCGCGTCCGGGAAGGGTAACTCTAAGATGTGCAGTCAGTGTCACAAGACGCTTGGATTCTTTTCCTTGCGGGAGCAGTGCGTTAGATGCGGCTCCACCCTGTGTAGCAGTTGTGCAAACTCCGGCCCTGGCAGCTTCAAGCTGTGCCTGGACTGTTACAAGCTGTGTGAATGGGATAGTCAGTAGCAGGGCAGATGCAGGTGCGTACATGTGTGTGTGAGAGAGAGGGAGAAGCCGGGAAGGGCAGGGAGGAGAAGGGCCAGGAGTTCGCTGGTATCTCACTTCCGTGTACTCTTGTGATTTGCACGCCTCGGTCGCTGTGCTCGCATGTGTTACTTCCGCCGCGTGTGATGGTGAAGGTGTGTGTGTGTGCGTGTGCGTGTGCGTGTGCGTGTGCGTGACTTAGTGGTGAGTCTCTCATCTGAATCGTTCCCCTTTGCTCTCCGCTGCGGTGCACAGGAACGCGGCAGTCTGAAGGCCTACATAGCGCAAAGTACAACACCCTCGCAAGAAGCAACACATATCGCGCAGAGCAGCGGCCGCGCCAACGAGCAGTCCAGGAAAGGAAAGCGAAGCAACCCACAAAGCGAATTCGCCCAGCGAGGTTTAATAAGGGCATGAGTATGGAGACGCAGCCGTTGGAAAGCCCCCCAATCTACGTGGAGGAAAAGCCCCTGACGCAAATCCCCCAACGATTTCTCCTACCAGCTGCGCCTGGGAAGAAGGGGCGCGAGGCTTCCGTCGACGGGGGACGCCCGTCGGTGCACGAATTGATGCGGAACGACGACTACACGAAGAAAGTTGCACGCAGCTCGACGGGCCGACTGGTGTCTCACTACCGCGTCCCGGTGAGTCGTCCACTGCCGCTTCACACGCCGGAGGCCGGCGCGGATCGGCGCCCTCTCAAGAGGAATGTTGAGAGTGTCTTTGCCTCGCTCTTTCGTGGATCGGGGGAGGGCGCCGTGGTGCCTGATTTTTTGAAGCCTGCGGAGAACAACCGCCGACGCGAGATTGAGGAGCGGAAGAAGCGAGAGGAGCAGGAACAGCCTATTTTTGGCGACCCCGATGCGAAGCAGCGCCTGCTGGAGCCGAAGCACATGCCGAAACTTGACATGAAGGTGCCGGTAGACTTCGTCCCGCGTTGCGCAGCGATGAGGACGCAGTCGATCCCGATCTACGCCGAAAAGGAGGACGCACAGGCCCAAGCAGCGCCGGAAAGAAGGGGCGGCTGAGAAGTCCGACAAGGACTAAAATGGATGGCAGATATTGCGCGGGCAAATGAAAAGGAAGGACCCGAGGTGGAAAGGAAAAAAGAAGAAAGGAGAGAGCTTCAAAAACAAAAACGCAAGAAAACAAAAAAAAATACCGAGGGAATTGGTCGCATAGCGGCGGCTGCGCATTTAGCAACTTGCGGACGCCGCGCAACAAGGAGGAGGAGCGGAGAGGCGACGGAAAACCATGTAGGGATAACCGCCGTGCTGGGGTGCGGGCGGTGGGCTCATGTCAGACCGCTACGGTCAAAGCGGTCCAGCAGGGAGGGGAGGGGAGGGGGGGGGAAGGCGAGAACTGCAACCCACCGCCGGAGAAGAAGCGGATGGGCAAAGAACTGCGTTAGCCCTACAAAAAGGAAAAAAATAATGCACGCGTGTTTTTTTTTTTTCCGGCGCGCGTCTCTCTACGCATCTTCTTTTGTTTTTGTTTTTGTTTTTTTATTATTCTCGTCTCTTAAATTAAAGGAATGGCAACTGCAGCCACCGCCGCGTGCGCACGCACGCCCCCCCCAAGAAGCGGAAATGTGAGAAAAGAAAACCTCGGCCCCGGCTGGGTGCGGGCGCGGCGGAGCATACGCCCCAGGCTGGCTGCGCAGGACGAAGGCAGCTGGGCGCCGCCTTCGCCGCCGTATTTATTTTGCCGTCTTTTTTGCTTTTGCCGGGCGCGGGCGGCGGCGCGCTCGCATGTGGTGCGCGGGCCCCCTTCTCCTTCACCGGCGCCCAAACCCGCGGCACCGCACTTCATCAACGCCTCCCCTCATTGCAGGGACGTCGCAGTGTTTGGTGTTGATGGACACATGTGGCGACAGCGCTGGGTGTGATGGGCGTGTGCCTCGGCCATTGCTGCTCGTCCTGCCGGGGCTGTGGGGGGGACAGCGCCTCCTGCTGAGTGAAAGCGAGAGTGCGGAATTGCGACGTCTCGTGGGGAATCAAAAAAAAAAAAACGCAGTCGCCCAGCGCCACTCATTGCGTTTCGTCGAGGAGTCCATTTTTCCCCTTGTGTATGATTTTTGTTTTTGTGTCTCTACCCCATTTTGTTGTCATCTGCTGCCGGTGCTTTGCTGGACGAATCCACGCCTCTATTCCCCCTTTTCTGCCTCGGTGGTTGCGCGCCGTGCGCCTCACGGATTGGACGCAACGGACGCGTTGAGGGGCAGACCGAGTGAGGCATGAACTGCGCGGGGGCGTGAGGGCCTTTGCGGCAGGGCGATCTTTAATTTCCCCCTGCGGACGATGAACGCACACGGACACGCACTGCCCTCTTGCGCTGCTGGGTGCGTGGGGCAAAAACATCTGCCGGTGCATTTTTTCAAAATTATTATTATTTTGGGGGGAACTGCGGGAATTTATTACTTTTCATCTGCGGTATCTCTTCTTTTGTGTCTCGGGCGATAGTCACCGCTGCTGCCTGAGCTCCGGTGCCGCGGCCGCCACCTTGCGGGATTGCGCTGCCTTTAACTCCCTCTTCCCTCTCTCTACCGGCACGCCCCCGTTCCGTTATGGCATTGCTTCTTTCGTCTCTCCCACGCACCCACACACGCAGAAGGAAGGAGACCAAACACCACTCGCTGCTGTGCGCGCTGAAGGCTCTGCAGTCACCACCGGCAACACACACATACACACACAACCGTCGCGGCCTGAGCGGATCCACCGCAAGGAGGAAAGGGAGAGAGAGGGAGAGTGAGAGCAGCGACGACCCAACATGCCCCGGCACGTGTTTTTGTCTTCCGCGGTGCTGCTGCTGCTCCTCTTTGTCCCATTGCTGGCGCGCGGCAGCAGTGAAGCTGCCGGCGCTGAAGGGACGGAGTCGAAGGAGGTTGAGCTCTTCAAACCGAAGGAGGATGTGGTGCCCGCTGATGGGGAAGAGGAGGGAATAGAAGCACGCTACAAGAGCGCTTCCTCATTCCAAGGTAGTTCCCTCGTTGAGGCAGATGGTGTGATGGTTGCGCTTGCTTTGGCCATCTACAACGACGGTGTTAGATACGGCACGTATACTGACATGTGGGCAAAGTGGCACCCGTACGGAGGCGGCAGTAAGATGCCAAAAGGCGCTGCATGGGATAATCACTGGAAAACGCAGCTTGTGACTGAACCGTCTGCCAAAGAGGGCCACCATGACGTAGTGCGCAGTCCCAAGGCTGTGGTGAGGGGAAATAAAATATTTGTTCTTGCGTCGAACTTCACCGTTATTACCAATGGTGCTTCGGGGCCTGTAACTTACTGGGGCCTTGAGCTGATTGTTGGTGAGGTTCGGAAGACCGCAGAGAATGATGTGAAGCAAGTCTCATGGAAGAAGACCAGCTTGCCGAAGTCTACGCATGAAGCGCCGATGCAGCAGCATTCGTGGGAGAGGCTGGAGGCTGTTGATGGGTCCAGAGGGGTTGCAGTTGGGGGCAGTACGATTGTTTTCCCTCTTTTGGCCACAAAACGAGCCTACGAGGGAAAAGAAGGGGAGGACATAACCGCTTGCACCGTCATTTACTCCGACGACAATGGCGTGAGTTGGAAATTTCCTGCGCAAGCTGCGATCGCCAATGACTGCGCTTTCGCCAGGCTTCTCGAGTGGGAGGGGAAACTCCTCATGGTCACCGCGGCCCCTTCTTCTTCTTCGTGGCGCAAGGTGTACGAATCCGCTGACAATGGGAAGACATGGACAGAGGCTAGCGGGCCACTCTCGCGCCTGCTGAGGGACGCATACGCATTACCGGACATCTATGGTTTTGTGGAGTTCATTACAGCAACAATTGAAGAGAAGACTGTGCTGCTGTGCACCCAGCTGGTGTTCATTCACAGAACAGAAGAAGGGGGCAGCGCACCAAACGACACCCATAATGTAATTCACCTGTGGCTCTCTGATGGGGCTCGGATATATGATGTTGGGCCAATATCTGTTGATGATGCGGGATTCTCTTTCAGCACGCTGTTGCACGCAAAGGATGGGTTGTTTGCCCTCTACTCGAAGGAAGGGGAGCATGGAAGGCCAGGCAGTTTTGTTTTTAAGCCGCTCACGGAGCAGCTGCGTCACATCAAGACCGTATTGAGTAAATGGAAGGAAGTTGATGACAGGGTCTCAAAGCTTTGCGGCTCCACCACCACCGCTGCAATGAAGGATGGCGCAGAAGGTGCTGGCTGTGTCGGTCCTCTGCCAACGGCCGGGCTGATTGGATTTTTGTCCAACAACGCCAGCGATACTCACTGGAATGACGAGTACTTTGGGGTGGGCGCCACGGTGCCTACGGGGACGAAGAAGGTTGAGAATGGCTTCCAGCTGGCAGGGCACGGCGCACGGATTGCGTGGCCGGTGGGCAGACAAGGACCCAATTCAGTGCGCAGTTATGTGGGTGAGGAGCTGACACTTGTGGCGACAGTGATCATTGACAAGGTTCCCACGGCCGCCACCCCGTTGCTGGGCGTGAGCATGCATGGTTTTTCACCCAGGAAACATCTCGTGCTGCGGTACGACGAGCGTCGGCACTGGAAGACGAGGTTCGGGGAAGAAGAGAATGCATCAGCAGCTGCCGTGGGAGGTGGGGACGGT